GTCACAATGAACATTGAGGGAATTAAGGGTAACAAACTGTATCTAAAAGAACTACTTAAAGCAAATTCAATACTATGTCCACAAGAAGATTGGCTGCATGGATATGAATCAACCAAAATAAAAGAAATCCTGCAAGATCATGACTATCATATATCATGCTTTGATGATACCCTTATTGATATGGACTTGCATAGAAAAAGGGGTAAAGGGGGAGTAATAACTATATGGCTACAAACGATCTCCCATAAGGTCAGGAAATTAGAAAAAGAAGACAGAATAATAGTAGTAGAAATTCAATCTGAACCGATTTAAAATAGTGCTGATTAATAACTATATGACAACAATGGCGACGGGATCAGAAAAAAAGTACAGAGAACATTTGGACAAACTGAACTCAATGATTGATAAATATGAACAAACAAACAATTTCTTCATCATTGGTGACCTGAATGGAACACTTATGCCTAATAGAAACAATTATCATGACAAACTACTTAAAAACTTTTGCAGACAACATTAGCTTAAAAATACAATGAGAAATGCTAACAGACCAATGTTTTATCATCATAATGTAAATTTCAACTCACAGATAGATTACATCTTAGAAAACTTCCGGGGTTGTAACCTTCTAGATTCAACTATTATGGACCAAAATTCCCTCAACAGCTCAGCACATGTACCAGTCAAGGCAATAACCCTTCTGATCGTTAAACAAAATGGTATAAGCAACTCAACTGGCAAGAAGAAAACTATTTTGAAATGGGAAGAAACGGACACAGAAAATTACCAACAAAAAGTCAGCCAAGTGAGACAAAAGCCTGAAATGCAAAATGAAACTGATGTAGAACAACAGGCAATCAATATCATAGATAACCTACAGGAAGCCAGCAAACTAAGCGTTGTTAAGAAAATAGTCTCCCTAAAAGGACCGAAATGGAAAGCTTCACCAAAGGTAAAGGAATGCATAGAGAAAAATAAAAAGGCATTCTATGCATGGAAACAAAAAGATAGACCAAAGAATGAAGAAAATCTAGAATATCAAGAAATGAAAAGGAATAAACGAGAGCTAAGAAACCAAATAAGAAAAGAAGACCATACTGATAAACAAAATGTTTATAACAACTTAATGGATAAACCAGATTTAAAGACTTTTTATAGACTGATCAGAAGAAACAAACATGAGTCTAAAGATGCAAAATCCACATTAATGAGAACAATGGAGAAGTAATAAATCCAGAGGAACAATCACAAATATTTGCAGACTATTATGAAAAACTAGCTGTCCCATCAAATGAAGAGCACTATTATAAAGAGTACTTAGAGCCCGTATGAAAATTTCAACAGGAGTTCAACTGGACTCGAGCTGGACGTTAGACGTATTCCAGTCTGACTTTGAAAAGTCCAGTCTGACATGAGCCGTACACCTACTTTTTCTTATACTTGGGTTATTTGCCAGCCGGTATTTTCTTAAAAGTCCAACCGCACATTTTGTAATGCTGACAAGAAAATAAACACGGCTGGACTTTTGAGGAAACTTATCCTCTTTGTATAATGATAAGCAGGATTTTTGTCTTAGAAAATTTTACAGTCATTTATGAGTAGGAATTTAGACTTAGAAAATTTTCATCTGCCTTCTGCCCTTACAGAAATAAAATGCTTGCCACAAAAGATTTTGTTCTTCGAAAGAAACAATTCTGTCAAAATGTATAACAGTTATGAAAGTTTGCAAGTAATAATAATGATAAAATAATTTTTTGCAATATACTTTTAGTTCAAACTATAAGATGTGATACTTTCCCTAGATTTTCAATTCCATTATGGAATATTTAACATAGACTGTTGATGGAAAGTTGAAATTTAATTTTGGTGACTTTTGATTGAATTATATCCAAGTTAAAACAACAATTATTTAACATTTTTACCTTTTTCATATAAAAAAAACCACGAGCATCAACTGTTAAAGGTTAAATTTATATATTTTCTAGTATATTTATATTTAATTAGATGAATGCATAAAATTAATACTTATCATTCATTCTTTAACGTCAATTAGAAACTTGAGCCATAACAGTGATTTAATAGCAGTGAGTCTTGTAGAAATGTGCCATCTGTTTTCAAATAACCTCTGTCTGGGTAGGTCACAGGAAGTACTATCTCCACAAAGATTGAGGAGAACACATTTCTAAATACATATTTCTGCAATTACTATCATTTTTATTAAAGATATCATAATTAAACAATAATTGATTTTCTTTTTTAAATATATCACATATTCAAAAGTAAGGCACATGCAAGTAATCATAAGAGGAACATTTGAAACAACTCCTTAAACAACCTCAGCTGAAGGACGCCTCCGGGTGCGGGAGTTTCTCGCTGCATTGAAGACCCATTGGTGGCCTTCGGCTGTTGTCTGCTCTATGGTCGGGTCGTTGTCTCTTTGACACATTCCCCATTTCCATTCTCAATTTTATCTCGTATAGCAAAACAACAAAATTTGAATTTGGAATAAACAGGAAGATGTGTATATATTCTTTCTTGAACAAAATGAGAATTTTACATTGGATGTAAAGCAAATGTTTGGAAGTAGTTCTTTTTACATTAAATAGAGAAGATGGATCCTTCTGACAGGCATCAATGGCAATTTAGGAAGATTGCTGTTTGCATGTATTTTGGATTGCATATTCTGGTAAGTACAATAAATTGAATTCCACCATTTTGGTGATATGATCTGATATGTTCTTTTTATTCAACATATTAATAAAATAATTACAATATTATAAAGAGCTTAATTCTTATTTTTGAAGAGTAAAAAGAATAAAATCTACATTAAATATTTATTCATGCAATAATTTTCATCTTGTCTGTTTTGTCACAGTCACTTCCTGTTTTGAATTGTTAAATAAAAAAATGTATTGTGTTATATTGTCTATTCCCTCTGTATTAAGGAATGGTTATTATTTTAGTTGTTTTGAAATTTTTTGATTTCTATAGTTTAAGTGATTTTCAAAGCTAACTTTATTTTAATTTTATGCACTTTAAAATTATTTAGGCTAACCACAATTTTTTAGTAGTTAGCATTTAGCTTCTCAATTCCCCATCTCTTAATTGGTTTTGCCAGTAAGTCAGTACAAAAAAAAAATAACCAGTATATATGCTTAATGCCATCTGGTTTTTTTTTGTATTTTCAGGTTATAGCGAGGGATGCATGATGCAAATTAAATCAGAAGAATCAACCATCTGAAGAAAAACTGAGATCATCTTTAAAAGTCAAACTGCACTTTTTGAAGTCCAGGTTGATTTTATAGAGTTCAGCTGGACTTCCTAAAGTTCAGCCGGACTTTTTTAAGTCCAGCAGAACTTTATAGAGTCCATATTTTTGACAGAAATGCCAGCTGGATTTTTTTCAGACGTACTTTTATTAAAGTCCAGCTGGACTTTATGAACCGGACTCCTGCTAAATTATTTAAATATTTTGAGCCGGTTTACGGCTTATTTCGCTGAAAGTCCAGCCGGGTATTCATTATAAGCAATTCAAAGAAAAGTCCAAATGATTATTATAAGTACGGTTTGTCAGTACGGCTACTGTCCGGCTGAAGTACTTGTCATGTTTTTCATACGGGAATATAGCAAGTATAGACTTGCATTAATGAACAATGTTATTAAACATACAATTAATACAGCATCACAACATTTAATGAAGAGGAAATTTTGAAGGCAATAGCATTTCAATGGAAATAAACAACTACTAATGCAAACAATCATAGAATGTACCAAATTGGAAAAGAATATTCCAACTATCAACCAAGAAATTAAACCGCAATAGAAATAGAAAAAAATAAGCAAAAAGCTGTGCTATGATCTACATGTTACAAGAACCTTAATACTCCATCAAAGATTAGTTGTAACAGGAAAGCATGAGGCAAAGGGCCTTGGGTGCAAGTAATCAAGCATCATATAAGTGGGTTAATTTGACCTAGAAAACAAAATATTAAAAATATAAAATAATTTTAAAAGTACTGAGTCTAATTCTGTAATGTTAACCATGACCATATTAACACTTTTTAAAAAAAAAGTCCCATTTAAGGATATAAAATCTATGACGAATAAGTTATTTTAGAAGTTTTTAACTATTCATTTTATTTTTAATATGGTTGAACCATAGACAATGATAGATGTATAAATTAACCCTCTATGGTTAAGCAGACTGGTTCATGTATTAGAAATTGTATCCCCTAAAGGAAACAAAATCTAAAACAAATAATATATTTTAGATTTTAAAAGTTTGATCTATTCTTTAAACTTTTAACATGTTTAAATAGACCATAGATATAATATATCTATGAATAGACTGAAACATGAAACGGCGAATATATTCTAAAACTATAAAAACTATATAATAAATGTTTATAATGATAAACCTATATATATACCTCCATCAAGTATTAGGCAATGATTCAAGGGAATAGATAAACTCCAAGTTTTGTAAGTTTTTAAACATCTATCCAATAAGGAATACAGGGATTAAACTGAGATTATATATGTATATATATATATATATATATATATATATATGCATTATGTAAATAATACACTCGCACTAATAGGTGTAAATAGAGTTCAATTAATTTATGGTTTTACATCTCTGTATATTTTTTAGGACATAATTAATGATTTATGAAAGACTGTATATAACCATTTTTATTATTTTATTATTTAATTTTAATTCTCAATCAAATAAAATTAAGGGCTTTTAATGCCGTGTGACACGGGTGCTCCGATAACGGAGGAATCTACTTAGAGAAGAAGAAGAAGCAACCAGTATTTTGAATTTCGAAGAAGATAAGGTTTCAACTTTTCTTAGAAAAGGGAGACAGAAGAAGTATCGTTTTTACAACTTCAGAGGTTCAGTTACTTGTTAAGAACATGTTAAAGAAACTTTAAAAATAATTATAAACTTTCCATCTGCCGTAGATTCTTCTATTAGTAGTTTACTTTCACTTTAGAAATAAAAATGTTAAAGTGAAACTAAACTGTGTCCCATGGAAAAACCGATGAATTATGAAATTACAACTGTTTATTTTGAGCATGGATTTAGATTTCTAATTATACGTCCTTGTTTGGATATACATCTACATCTACATCGTTGAAAAGCAAAGCTGTTACCAGAAGTCTGTCTGACTCTAAGTAAAAATAAATCAGAAGTCTGTTTAAGTGGTAACTATTTAATGATCTAATTACAAATACTTATTTTTTTCCAAATATTACTTGATATCCTTCCATCCCTTAACAGCAATCCCCCAAAATAGGGCACCTTCAATGTTTTTAAATATTGCTTTCACTGATATTTGTTGTCAATAAGAGCATTTCTTCTTATTGTGGATGTCTACCATTCAATTTAATGTTGTTATTAATAATGTATGTATTTATATTTGACTACTTATACCTCCTCGTTGGGCTTCAAAAATGGTAATAGCGAATACAAAGAAACAGGATATTTGTTTTTCTTTTTATGCCCCCGCCATAGCGGAGGGGCATTAAGTTTTACCCTTGTCCGTCTGTACGTCCGTCTGTCCATCCGTCCGTCCGTACGTCCCAAAGTTGGTTTCCGTTCTCTAACTTTAGATTGCCTCAACAAAATGTTATGAAACTTATACACAATGCTTACTACCATAAAATACAGATCAAGTTTGAAATTTGGTGGCGTCACTTTTACCATTCTTGAGTTATGCCCCTTTCTAAACATAAAAATTGCTGAATTTTTCGTTTCCGTTCTCTCACTTTAGTTTGCCTCAACCAAACGTATGAAACTTATACACAATGCTTATTACCATAAAATACAGATCAAGTTCAAAATTTGGTGGCTTCACTTTTACCGTTCTTGAGTTATGCCCCTTTCTAAACATTTAAATTGCTGATTTTTTTCGTTTCTGTTCTCTAACTTTAGTTTGCCTCAAACAAATGTTATGAAACTTATACAGAATGCAAACTAGCACATAATACAGAATAAGTTAAAAATTGGGTGGCGTCACTCATACCGTTCTTGAGTTATGCCCCTTTATAAACATAAAAATTGCTGAATTTTTGGTTTCCATTCTCTAGCTTTAGTTTGCCTCTACCAAATGTTATGAAACTTATACACAATGCTTATTACCATAGAATACAGATCAAGTTTGAATTTTGATGGTATCACTTTTACCGTTCTTGAGTTATGCCTATTTACAAATGGAAAATTTGCTGAATTTTTTTTTTCTGTTCTCTAACTTAAGTTAGCCACAACTAAATGTTATGAGACTTATACACAATACTTATTACCACAAAACTCAGATCAAGTACAAATTTGGGTAGCATCACTTTTACTTTTCTTCAGTTATGTCCCTTTAAAACTTCATTATGATATGCAAGCGGGGGCATCATCTGTGTCCCATGGACACATTCCCCATTTTTTGGGGTATAGTTGAGTATAATTGTTATTTGCAATATTGTGACCCATCGTACAACAATTAACTCAGAAGATAACCCATAAATATTATAAATGAGCTAACACGACAAGATAAAATGAGAAACCCAATTGTCTAATTTATGCTAAAACAATTACCAAAAAAAAAATATGACAAAAAGCAGCCAAAATAGTTTTACCATTTAAACTTTACACATACACACATCATCTTACAAATATTAATCATATAACTATGTCTCTGATATAATTAAAAGATAGCACTCATAAATCAAAATACCCACAGCTACATATATTGGAAAGACGGGCGCTTAATGTCCAGCGCCAACTATTACATGAATATTCAGGGTGAACACATTTTTTGATGATATTTTTATTTGATTTATAAAAAGAAGATATGATATGGTTGCCAATGAGACAATTCTCCACTAGAGACCAAATGATGTAGAAGTTAGCAACAATAGGCTACCGTAAAGCCTTCAACAATAAGCATGAATGTATTCAGCTTTTATAAGACAAAGACGCTGAGTTGGATGTTAATGTGCTACAGCATAAAGTAGCAGTCCATAGAAAAGGCACATGACTCAATCTGGGGACACATTTCTCTGACTCCAAGCGAATAATCTTTTGTTTGACTTTTAAATCCTGTGTTTATAACGGAGAAGCAGTGTAAACCAGATAAAAATCTTTTCCAGATCATGGCAGATGTGTACCTCATTCAATATAAGAAAACAAAATGAAAATTGAAAACACATAAATAATACACTGTATTTAATAGAATTTTCATTTTTATTTCAGAAAAGGGATAGAAGTATGAGTGGGAAACAGGAAGAAACTACAAGAGGAGGGGATGAGGTAGATCTTCAAAATGGGGGTAGTCAAATGAACACCAAACATGCCAAAGGAGGGTTTGTAAATATAATTAATAATCATATAATCATATAATCATGATAATCATAGTAACAAAATGTAACCAATTGTTTTTGAATTTCTCTTCAAGTTATTTCATAGAAACTCATCCTTTTTCCTGACAACACTACAAGCAATGACAAGTGACAAATTTTGTTATTGCTAATTTGCTAAGGAATTTTATTAGATAATGATGCACATAATCTGTTTGATTTAAAACAATACCATGAATACTGTGCACTTATAGCATGTATAGTAAACAGCTGTTTAACAGATTTTATTACAAATTCTACTCTAGAATCTGTACTTACAATTTTCATTAATTTCCCGATACTCCTTAGTTACTGCCAACTATATACTGTAAATTCAGAAATTATTGCGTGCATTTATTATTGAGATTTTTCAAGAATGGACAAAAATGCGAGTTTGATTATTGCGATTTCGAAAAAAAATATCTACAGATCTATAATTCAGTTATCAGAATGCGAGTTCTAATTATTGCGATACTCACCCAGTCACATTATTCACATTAATAAAAACCTCGCAATAATTTCTGAATTTACAGTAGTAAATACATTGAACTCATTGCATTTTCCACTTATTTTTGTGATAGGTGGATTGGAATCTACAAATCACTTTGATATATATATGTGGCCTCACTTCTTTAGAACTTTATGGAACTTTTAAATATATTCTAAATTTTCAAAACATTTGCTTCCATTGTGAAAAGTTCTTTGTTTAAGTGGTTAAAAGATATAAGGAACTAATTACTCTTTAGTGAATATGAAAAACATATATAGGTAAAATTCAGCTGAAAAAATTGTGTATGTGATATTTAGGTTGACAGATGTGTCTTTGTTGTTAGTAAAAAAGACAAACTTCACCAAAAAGATATACAAATGTAGTATCATCTTATAGTAGTAGGTGTGGTCTGTAGAAGAAAATTCTAAATGATGTGCAGATACAATATTGTCTATATTTAATGTAAAAAAGAAACTCCAATAGATGTAATACAATTATAATTATACTGATTTTCTTATTACAGTTATGACCAAGCTGATACTCTAGGTCAACAAGAAGATCCATCTTCTAAAGAGATACAACAACAAGATTTAAATCAACCTCAAAATGATTTGTAAGTCAGATGAACAGCAACATAAAAAAATGAGATAAAATGAACAAGATTTAAATGTTTGACAGTAAGATGTGTAATATTTTTCAAGTCATAAACAGGAGCTCAGCAAGCGATTCCATCATGTAGTGCATTTTTGGTAAATAGAAAAAGAATATTCTTTTTTTATGGTAAAGAATGGATTAAATGCAATCAAAGCCCTATGGTACTGACTTGATAGCTAAATGTTCCAAGGTTTATCACTATAGTTTCCTAAATGGACAACACCTCTTGTTCTCTTTCTTTAAAAAGTCTAAACACAATCAAATGTATGTATGTCAAAAACAATTGAATTTGACCTGTAAAGTCTATCAAACACAAAAAAGTGTTTGTTGTACGGAAAATTTTATTAAAATATATGTCACCTTGATCTGTCTACCACTGGTAGAATATCATATCTATAAAAGCAACTGACTTTTCACCATAAAGCTATGTTCAAATATCGTATATATTCTGTAACATTTTATATATTACTATTTTTTTCATAAATAGTTGAGAAAGTCAGAGGACCTATTTTGAAAAGCTTATACTTCTATTAACATGATTTTCAATACGGTAGGAATACAATTAAAGGTTAGGAAAAAAACAACCAACAAATTTTACTTCTAACCAACAACTTTTGATTCTTAGTAAGGATATCTATCTTTTCATTTTACAAGATTCATTTTTTTGAATCTAAACATTAATTTTAATTTGTAGAAAAAATCCTAATACAGACATGGAAGACATAAGAGATAAAGAATTTAATTCACCAAGGTATAACACATGTGGAAATGTTGGTAAAGCAGTTATTGTAAGCAACTTTATGGAGGGATGGAAGGCAAAACAAGGAGACAACTTGGTAGCAAGGTCATATGCCAAGAATGATTGTGATATGCTAGAAAAATCACTTAAAAGTCTAGGATTTCAACCGTTGGATGAAAATGAAGACAGTATGGTATACAAAAATCTAACAAAAAGTCAGTTTGAAGCCCTATACAAAAAAGGTAATATATCATAAGACAATAAAATCTTAATTATCTTCAGGTTGTATATTAGTATGGTTTTTATGGCAAAAGATCTTCGGACTATCCCAGAAAGACGTAGACGATACCCGAAGAAGCTATAAAAAACAGTATTTCCAACAAAAACAGACAACACCAAAAGAAAAAAGAAAAACTACAAAAAGGACATTAGTAACGAAACACTACACAGATGCCCACCATAAAATTGGAGTGAACTCGTGAGGGTTCTCCATTAGTGAAATAAGCTTCCTTGCCATATAGTGGCACCAACTGAGTTAATTTTCATGTTCAATGCAAGTAAAAGTTTGGTGATAAGTTGTATCAGTAATGCCAATCATAGAAAATAAATTTGACTGCCAGGAGAAATGAACGTTGACATTGGCAACAAATTATCTTTCATTTGTATGTTACATACAAATTTTAGTATATTCTTGAAAAAAGACAAACGTTTTGTTTTGAAAATCGTGGAAACTGGCCCGTTACCATATGCATACAGAATGGTGATAAATTTTTCAAACATCGATAACTTTGTAAAATGCTTCATTGAATGTTAGAAAACTTGAACAGAAGCTTTTTCATAATAAAGAAATTGCATATCATTCTGAAAAAAAAAAAAAACTTATTTTTTTATTTTTCTTTATTTTATCAATGAATGGCCATAGTTTTGAGCAGTCAACATCACACATTTGCACTGAAAGTAGCAATCACAAACAAGACACAGAACTCTTAACAATTATGTTTTGTGTACATGTGTAGTGTTTTTTATCCTGTAGATCAAGTACTTTTAAATTCAGATTTTTTTTGCTCTGTTTCTATTTTTGCAAAAATGCAATGGGATAGGTTTAAGAAAAATATAAACTTTCATTTTACATTTTGATAACATTGTTTTTCATGTTATAATGCAGCATTTTGTGGAAATGGTGATAACAAATCTCACATTTTTATCCATTGTACAACAAATGCAATAAATGCACACAACAATTTTTAAATTTACGGTATTTTACAGATAGAAAAAAAAGCTAAAACATGATGTTCCAAAATTAGCATGATCAGATTCTAACTTTAAATTTTGACGATTATATTGGATGCAAATTACAATTCTAAGAATGTCTGATTTTAAGAAATTTCATTTAGGGAAAATAAAAGGGTTGGTCCAGTAACTAAAACAAAATACTTTAATTTGTATTGTAGGCACTGTTTATGAAATTTTCTGGTGTTTTTTTTAATATTAGATCACTTTTGGGTAGAAAATTTATGACCACATGTAAAAAACAATAAATTAGTTTGTATGAAGCTGATTTTAAGTTACATATGTATGCTTTGTTTTAATATTGTTTTGTTAATATATTTGCTCAGAGTTTTCTAAAAACAAATGAATTCAAAAGAGTGTGTGCTTCTGAGAAAAAATATGAAGCTATATGAAATTTTAGTAATGTCATCTTTAACATTAATATACTTCCTATATAATAACAAGACAATTTAAGTACGTTTATTTTGATATGATAAATGGTTGATTTTTAGCCACACTGTCAGATGCAAAATGACAACATGTCTTCAGAATTTCACTTGGTTTTGACACTTTTAAATAAATAATTAAAGAAAGGAAATTAAAAAAATCACAAAATTAGGTAAAATGGAGCATGTTCAGTTGTTTTGTTCAGTGAAAAAATCCTTGCCACTATAAGACTATGTGAGTTGATTTTCAGAAATTATCTCTCTTATTTAAAAAATTATAATCTACTTTTAGCTGCAAAAGAAACCAACTACAGACCTAAAGGAGGTGAAGGATATACCTGTGTACTGTTTTTTGTCATGTCATATGGGAGATCAGGATTGATACAGTGTCATAAAGAAGGTGAAGAAATAACGCATCCATTTGTAGAACAAAAACACCTGCAAGAAGCCTTCCAACCACAGAATAATCATTCACTGGCCTTGAAACCAAAATTCTTCATTATCCAGGTTTGTATTATTTTTAGCTCAACTGGGATGAAAGGCCATTTCAGGTATCACCATCATTTATTGTCTGACGCCTTGCCTTATCATCTAAAATTTCTCACATTTTTAGTTTTTTCTGTTCCTAACCACTGGTTCAATTTTCCCAAACTGCAGGAATTATGTTCTTTTACAAACAACCGCCTCGGCGGCCTCGTGGAAGCATTTTTCGCCTCAAGTGCAGGAGGTTGTCGGTTCGAACCCCGGCCGGGTCAAACCAAAGACTTTAAAGTTGGTATTTGCTGATTCTCCGCTTACCACGTAGCATTAAGGAGTAAGAGAAAAGACTGGTCGGCTCAGAGCCAGAATAATGTGTTCGGGTAAGGTGACATCATAGATGCCAACCATTACGATTTTTATACGCCCGTTTACGGGACGTATTATGATATACCGTTGTACGTCCGTCTGTCTGTCTGTCCGTCCGTCCGTCGTCAACATGTCGGACATTTACTCAAAAACGCTTTAACCAATTTGCTTAAAACTTTGGTGAATTGTTTATATTTATTGACGTGAGCTCCCTTTCGTTTTTTATAAATTTTAGATTTTACGTTTCCGAGTTATGGGGTTTTATTCATTAAAAAAAGGGGGATTTTCCAGTTTTCGGACTATAACTCAAGAATGCTTTCACCAACTTGCAAGAAATTTTGGTTAATTGTTTATATCTATTGACATGAGCTCCCATTGGATTTTTATAAATTTTAGATTTTACGTTTCCGAGTTATGGGGTTTTATTCATAAAAAAAGGGGGATTTTCCAGTTTTCAGACAATAACTCAAAAATGCTTTCAGCAGTTCTCATGAAACTTTGATGAATTGTTGATATCTATTGATGTAAGCTCCATTTAGAATTTTATAAATTTTAGATTTTACATTTCCGAATTATGGGGTTTATTCATTAAAAAAGGGGAGATTTTCCAGTTTTCAGACAAAAACTCAAAAATGCTTTCAGCAATTCGTATGAAACTTTGGTAAACTGTTTATATCTATTGATGTAAGCTCCCTTTAGAATTTTATAAATTTTATTTGTTTATAGTCTGACAACAGATTTACTAAGTATTGCGCAACAGCACAGTGTATTGCACAACAGCAAGAAATCTTTAATTGAATATAAATTCAATTCATATAACCAACTTCAAGTTCTTTGACTACATTTATTCAGAAACCTATAATAGATGTATGTCAAATATTTAATTACAATCCAAATTCAGACCTGTATCAAGCTTGAATATTGTGTCCATTTTTGCCCCAACTGTTCAGGGTTAGACCTCTGCGGGCGTATCCAGCTGCGCTCAGCGAAGCAGTTTATTCCGTAATTGTCACGAATTTTGGACGAAAATTACGGTGTTACGATTAACAGTCTATTTGTTAAGGATTTACGTTCATTAACTGTCCAATACTGTTCTCCCTTTATATATAACTTTTATCATTGTGACGCTTCATTTTTGGTTAGAATCGTGTAACATTCAGCGCATGAATGATTCGGACTGTTTTTTCCTTTGGGTTTCTCGGGACTATCTACCAGTGTGAAACATCTCTCCATTTCTTGTAAAATTCCGAAAAATTCATGAACGAAACAAGTCTTTGATTTCAATTTTACAATGTCTATTGAAACAATTAAATTTGTGACGCAAGGAAAGAAAACTCTGACAACGAAATTGAAAACCGGAACATTATGCCTTTTGCATATATTGTGAACAAGACTTCCATTTAGCGCGATGGTTGGTGTTTCTCACTTGCTCATCAACTTTGAATCGTGGTTTTGATGAATAAAGAAAATCATGTATTTGTTACTGTGTGCCACTCCCAAGGGTGACTGTGGAATAGAAATATGGTTACTACAGGTCTTCTTCCAACCCGAAGCAAAACCCTTGCCAAAGTGAAACAAAGTGAAGGCTGTGCAGGATGTACAAGAACGCAACCACGTCCGATTAGAATGGGGATGTTAAATCTGATGCCTCATGTTCAAAGAGTGCCATGTGCTCTGCACATTAAGAATCGTTGTAACAAATCTTTTAGGGGTCCGTAGGTGGCTGTTGCAATGCTAAATGTCTATCCCATATCCAATATACCTTCAGTGACATTCTAAATTTCCCCGACCTTCATCCCGAATTGCCTATATCACAGGATCTAACTGTTGTATTTACTGTTTATTTGTTCTCGTCTTGAACATGCATGAAATATTTGCCACTGGACGTTAAGCATCCAATAATCAGTCAATCATATCACTGTGTGTCAAGTTATTCATATGGTTATTATAAAATTTTAAGAAGAAAATATTACGGACAATATACACAAATTACAGAAATCTTAATACCTTTTACTGATTGCACTCAAAGGAGGTTTGCATCTATGTGACATGTATTCCTGGGGACTGTTACCTTGTGAACTAGCAAGTTAAAAATCCTCATTATCATCTTTTACAAACTATTCCATGTGGTTTGAATTGGATGAAAAAAATGTTTTTGTGGTTGTTCTGTTATACCTTTGGTTTTGTAGGTTGAGTTTTTGGAAGACTATTCTGCCAGAATTGATCATTATACTTATAGCTTCCTTGACAAAAGCCTACCAGTACAAAAAAAAATCATCCCACAACACCAAAAATGAGCTATTGCCATCACTTGGTGTCTGTCATTGTAAACTTTTAAATAAATCATCAACTACTGGGCTAATTGTTACTAAACTTTACATTTTATCAGAGGATTTGATCGATCAACAAGCATGACTGCTAAAAAAGAATATATGGGTGAAATGCCTGTTTTTAGCTTATATCTCAAAAAGTAAAGCAGTTGGGGAAAAATTAGAACGATCAAGGTTTATCTGCTATGAAATATTCAGAAAAATCCAACAACCCATTTAGGAGTTATTGCCCCAGAAATGTCAATTAAAATTTTTGCTGATTTTGTTTATTATCTTGAAAACTATACTATAGAAACTTTGAATAGTAAAATTGACCAGAACAATAAGATCTACTAATAAGTCTGCATGGCTAAAGTTCTCAATTGACCCTTTATAGGAGTTATAGCCCTTGAATGATGATTTTTACCTTATTTGCATTTTATACAGAAATTAGGGTAGATAGAGAGAATTTTTGAATAGTAAAAATATATTCAGCTAAATAAAATCTACAAATTTTTTTTAGTTCTTTTGTAGAGACTCTATTAAATAGATAGAAATTGTAAATGGCAAACATGTTTAGCAAAATAAGATCCACCTTGATCAAAAATTGCCAATTGTCATTTTTGGGGGTCATTGACTTTAAAGGATATTTTTTTTTGCATTTATAGCAGAAATTATAGCATAACTTTAAGGAAGTGTGTTTTTGCAGAAACTATAATAGATAGAGAGAAATAGTGAGTAGCAAAAATATTCAGCAAAATGTGATCTTCAAATAAGTCAACATACCAAAATTGTCAATTGACCCCATATAGGAGCTAAATAGCCTTTGCCTATTATTTAATAAAACTATGATAGATTCCAGTAGTTAGAAAATGTGAACTGCAAAATTGTCAGTAAAACAAGTAGATATAAGAAGATGTGGTATGAGTGCCAATGAGACAACTCTCCATCCAAGTCACTATTTGTAAAAGTAAACCATTATAGGTCAAAGTACAGCCTTCAACACGAAGTCTTGGGTCTACTATAAATGCACAAATGATGAAAATCATTGGTTGATTCCTAATAGAGGTTAATGGCTATAAATGAATATTTTTTTACTGATTCCAGTTGTTGTCTTTTATCTCAAAAATTATAAAAGAAAGGTAAAAACTATAAATAGTAAAATGTTGACATGTGAGTGTATCAGACTCTTAATCTTTGCGCAGCATACTAATTCTAGTTCTTAATTTTCGTTCCTTCAGTCATGAAATTACGGTGAATGCTATCTAAAAATAACTTACAATTTTGGCAGAACTAGTGTTAATTGATTTGCAGAAATATCTTCTGTGAAATGATAAACTTGAACCCAGTAGTGGACAAAAACCAATAAAAGCACCTAACCCATCAAATGTTAGGAATCTCATGATGAATGTAAAGACTAAACTTTAATAAATAGAAACTATGATACTTTGATTTTATTGTAATCTTGTATTTTTTCATATCAGACTATTCCTGAACGAGGAAGTGTTACTGATGCAGTAGGAACAACAGAAGAAAAAACCACAAGAAGAATTCCAAGAGAGGCAGATTTTTTGACCTATACAAGTGATAGCTACTGTATACATAGCTGTGATGGTGGTAGGTTATATAATTCTTAATTTTAAGTAAAGCAACATTGGCTGCATCAATGTATTTATTGTAAAAAAACATATTTGCATATGAAAAATGATACCAAATGAAAAGACCAAACAAAAACAAATTGAAAAGGAAATGAATAATTTTATTTTGATTAATAAATATTAATCACATCATTTAATCTTTTAAACATTGTTAAATGAATAGTCTTCAATTTTGTTATGCTTCAGGTGAAAATATAGCATAGCATATGACATTCATATCATTATCTATTGTTTTACAGTTGAAGTCAATTATTTTATCAAAGCTGTGGTGGATGTTTTAAATAGTCTAGCCAAAGATAAGAAGAATAATGAGTCTGCCATGGAGATACAGAGAGTTTTGATAAGAATTAACAAAAAATTTAAAGAAATAAAACCAGATAACAGTTTTAAAATACCCTGTGTTACTTCTTCACTAACAAAGCAGCTGATCCTATTTTGAATTCAGCAATTAGTGAATTTAGTGAAATTCATTAAAATTCAAAAAAGAACGTTTTATAATACACTTGTAGTTAACTTTTTTTTTTACATTTTTGTAACAATATACATACCAATATACATATTGAGATTTTATAATTGTATTAACTTTGGAAGTACAGCTGATAGGGATTTGTCAGTCCCCAATTTTACCATTTTCCATGTAGCCAGAATTTCTGCATTCAATTATGTAAATTTATTGGCTGATTGATTGATTAGTGTTTAACGCCAATTTCAGCACTATTGTGTTATTTCGTGACGGCTAGTTTTTATTTGGTGTAGGAAGCCAGAGAGAAACAAAGAACTTCGGAAGGAAAACTGACAATAATCAATATCTTATATTGAACACAAATCATGTTGAAATGTGTCTAAAAATATTTAAGCGCGAACATTTTGTATGTATTATACATATGAATTAAGTTGACACAGCTTCAAGTAGTTAATAATATTCTTTTTGTTTTCTTGGTACAAAATTTTGACTAGTTTGAGTAAGTTTTAGGTTAGGACAAGAATTTTTCTGTACATTATTTTTCTGTATATTTATTTTTTTCATGTTTATTATACATTTTTATGTACCATTTGTGTTTTCACTGCTGTTTGACATCAAAGTTGGACATCTACGATATCGAGAAACTAGTTAATTTCTGATACATGTTCTTGTGTCTGTCCAAGTCATGAACTTGGTCAGTGGTTGGCCTTTGTAACATCATAATTCTTTGTGTCTGTTTTTTTTTTTTTGTGGTATTTGATGCAAATGCCAGATCTTTTATAGTATATATTAAATTTATTCATTACTGTTTAGTTGTTTGCTGTTTTTGAGCTCAACATATTATAAACATTTATTTGTTCCCCCTTACAGAAACTGAAAGCATAGTTATAAACAATGCCATAGTATCTGTTTGTGTTGGAACAAATATTCTATATCCATTATTCCATTAGGAACAAATACTGTAATATTTGTTCCAGTGGCAATAATATTCCAGAATTTTGTATTTTATTTCTGGATGGTAGGGTAACAGTCTCATGTTTATCTCCCTTTGTTTTTATACAATGCATGATTGTATAGTCTTACCATGTTGTCATCCGTTAAGATGATCTTTTAAATTACTTTTCTTTTAAAAGAATATCTCTCAATGTTTTGCCATTGTATAACATTCTATCTCAAAATGCAGTCTTAGATCACTTTTTCACAGTCATATTAAAAAAAATAGTAAAGGGATTGCTTGTCCCACGTTTTTTATACATGTACACTGATTTTGATAATATCTTAAATTATAGATACAGTAAATCACGATTTAAAGACAAACTCCCTTCCAAAATTTCAATTGTAAAAGTATTATTGATTAAAGATTTGTCTATTTAAGATAGATAATTAATATTAAAGTAATAGTTCTTTGATATAGTTCTTACAGTTAATGTATCATGCCTATTTGTTTCCCCGCACATCCTTCTGTCCCTTCTTTAAAGCGTTCTCACTTGAACAATTCTGTCCAGATTTTTAAGAAATTTGTATCAAAGGTTTATATTAGCATTATTTTGAACAAGTTAGATTATCAGTTCTGATTAACTTTTTTTAAAAGAGTTATGCCCCTTAGAAATATTAGTTATATGGAAAATTTTGTTGTAAGCGCTCTCATGTGTACAATTTTCTAACCAGATTTGTATTAAATTAATATCAAAGGATTATATCAGCAATGTCTTGGACAAATTCGAAAATCAGTTTTGATCATTAAAAGAGTTATACTCCTTGGAAATGTTAATTATGTGGAAAGTTGCATGGTAGGCGCATCTAGAGTACAATTTTTGCCAGAGTTTTATCAAATTAATATCTAAGGTGTATATCAGCAATGTCTTGGACAAGTTCAAAAATCAGTGTTAATACACTGTTAAAACTATTTAAATTTGTTTTGCCCCTTGGAAATGATATGGAAAATAGCATTATAAGCGCTCTCAAGCCCAAATTTATTTTAAGATATTAAACATGTTTGTTTCAGTAATTTCCACTGGACAGATGAAATATGTGCAACACAAGGGACATTGAAAATCTGTTCTGTTAAATTTTGGGCCAAAATCGCTTATCCTAAGGTTTGAAATGTTTGCAGGAGTTGGTATAAAGAACATAATGTGGAAAATGAGATAAAAAAAAAGGTGTGTTGGCCAACTAGCTAAAAAACATTGGCTGGATCACTGCACTTCTGATGATGATTGCTGTTGTCAGCTACTGAACACTTATTGTTATTTTTATGCGATTATTATTTGAACATTGACCATTTTGATTTACTTCGAGTGGCACTGGTGTGTATTGTGTAGACAAAACATACACTTGGCGTTCTACATTATTAGCATGGTATAGATGATGAGTTTTTACTAAAAACGTTTTAAGCCAATGTGCTGTTCTGGCTCATGAAAAAGTCAAATTTGAAAGTTAACTCTATATCTCCTTAGAAACCTTGCAATTTGGTAATATGATCCAAAAAAATAAATGAAAATCATCAAAATTAATTTGATTTGTATAATTTGCTTTCAACTGAGTCTAAAAAAAACAGACAGAAAACAATGGTCTAATAGTCGTACATGTGATTCTTCAAGAATTCTTTCAGAATAAATCACAGTCTAGATCAAACGTCGCAGCAGGTCCTCAACTTCCGAACTGGTGTTATATTATGAGTCCTATGTAGACGAAACGCGCATCTATCGTACAAAATTATATGCCTGGTATCTTAGCTGAGTTTTTAAATTTACGTAATTTTTTCTGACAAATTATTGAACAGAATGACTTCATATTTTTTTATCAGCAGCTCAAACGTGATTATTTATAACGTTTGTGCGCTTTTCTGATTTGTCAGACAGCTAATTCCTGTTTTCCGATACTTGAGTTATTAGTAGGGGTATGCTTAGCACTACAAAGTGTGATTTCTTGTTAGATTTGATCTGACATCTAAGGTGGCAGCCTCTATCCTGATTGGTCCAACATCAGACAATCGATCAATGAAGCATACACAAACATAGACAGACGGTTCCTTGTGTGGGACTGAAAATACAGATTGAGTCGAAATTGATATGGCCCATTAGTGGTGGAATCGGTTTGTTTTACATAAGACTAGTTTTAAAGATTTATTTGCTGACTGCTCTCGAAATGAAGGAACTACAGATACAGTTAAGTCTGTCTCTTATCTTGACTTGAATTTAGAATTTTGACGTGGATAGATAGATATTTAAACTTTACAAGAAAGGGATGATTTTCATTTTACCATTGTAAAATGTCCATAACTGTTAAGCAACAGTTGTTAGTATGGTTTAATTCATCGTCCCCCACCCCCTTGTTATCTACCGGTAATTGTTTTTTTTTTTTTACCTTTTTTTAATTTTTTTTATTTAGAACTTTAACTGGCAATGAATGCTTTACTATATGTAGAAGAAACTGTACTTTAATGTTACAAGACTCAATGTGTGGAAGTGTGCAAGTACAAACCGAGTGATAATTAAGTCTAATTCGGTATGCCACATTCGAAAGAAACATTAAATTTGTCTGCTCGTTTCAAGTCCCTTTTGGTCGTATTCAAGTAGCTTTACATGCTTGGCTTTCATATTTTTACGTGCGTCTAATGCTTTTCCAACGTACACAATTTATAAAACAAAAATGAAAACAACACTTTTCTGGATAAATCTTCATCGGAAACACTAAAAGCCGAACATTTGAAAGCAAAGGTTGTATAAGGACCGAAACAGTCGGAGAGCTAAATGATGAAAAAGGACATAAAAATAATAGCCAACATTATTGACGTTCAACACTTAGGTCAAAACAAAATCTTAGACATGTACACTAAACTGCAAAATATTGAACCTGCATGCAAACATTTATCAAATACCGTTCTGAAATCATAGATTTCGCCAACGAGGTTTAATTAATTCTACTTGTAGCTGTCCGAGTCGTTTAGTATTTTGGACACGGTGCATGCGAAGTAAACCACTTTGTCACAGAAGCATTGACTATCTGCTGGCGGGAATGAAATTTTCCCATAGCAAGTTTACAAATCTAACATTAAAGACGAAAATAATTAATGTTTTATTGTGTTGTGTTAGCCATGTATAACTCCAGTCATTCCAGCAGCATGCCACCGAACATCATTTACATTGTTACAAACCCTAGATGAAGCTGATGAGACCTAAAACGACATTCGTCGACATACGAAAGCTATATTGTGCTTTAGCCTAGACGACCGAATGGTCTAGGGCATTCAACATAGTTCAAACGGAGATGCGACAATATCACAGAAGTATTTACTAAATTCCTGACGAGGGACATCTTCGCTAAGCAAGGGTTACGATCTAGTCCCCTCCTCTCCACCCTTGGCAGATTAAGCCAAAATCCGTTTCACAGATGATATCGGATATGTTCCTTATGTCGTAACTACAATACCCTTCCCTTTTCACGAATGTGACCTACCGAATTAGACTATTTACCGGATTTGTAGTAACATAAGCAACACGACGGGTGCCACATGTGGAGCAGGATCTGCTTACCCTTCCGGAGCACCTGAGATCACCCCAGTTTTTGGTGAGGTTCGTGTTGCTTAGTCTTTAGTTTTCTATGTTGTGTCATCTGTACTGTTGTTTGTCTGTTCGTCTTTTTGTTTTTGGCCATGGCGTTGTCAGTTTGTTTTCGATTTGTGAGTTTGACTGTCCCTCTGGTATCTTTCGTCCCTCTTTTTTAAGCCAACATTTGCGATTACAATGCTGCGCCATCTAACGGTAGATAAAAGTCACGCCCATTCTGACTACATCATTCTTGACCAATTGCAGCACTTGAAGTCTTTTCAGTATGGAGGTGTAAAAATGGTTGTTTCTAGTGTATATAAATGTCGTGAAGCAGGAACCGAAAATATACGTTGACATTCCAACACGTCCACTAGAAACATACCTATGAACTTCAATTAGTTGATTGGGAACTTTAAAATTGTCACTAAATGTTGTCTTATGTTTTTGGGGTAAAGACTTGTTGTACAATCAGCACGTGGCAATTGTTTATTTACATTTTCTACATTTACACGTGATCATCTTAAAGGTGCTTTTTGGTTGGATGCAGCCAGTTATAACTGCGACCAATTGAAATCATTACCTCGTGGATCCGGAATTCTGTCAAGGGTGGAGACTGGGGAGAGGGGACTGGGTCGTAACCCTTGGCTACCGATGATCGACGAGGAAAGGACAACAGAAAATGTTACCATTAATCTGCAGATCTAACACTGGGCTTCATTTCTGACGTTATTTGTTTTGTTAGTCCTGCAAAACCATAGACTACTGACAAAAAGTGCTAAAGCAGAGTTTTGGGGAAGGGCAACTGATTGGCCGATACACTGTGTCTGTGTCTCAACTCATTAGCGACATGTGTTTGCGGTTTTAGGTCGTTGGTTTCCACAACAGTCATCTGATCTTAAGATTTATCGATTGTGTCCTTTTCCTTATTGTGATATTTTGACTTTGATTCGATTCGCATGGCGGATACTACATGCGGAGGAGACGCTTACTATGTCGAATTACCCGGTCTCGTTTCTTTAAGGAGTTCATGCGGTTGTGTTTTTACCTGATTTGTATGTTCTGAATTGATTTATTAGATTTGTATATCTATCGGTAGACTACTGTTGTTTCTTATTTAATGTATTATCTAGATTTGTATATCTATTGGTAGACTACTCTTGTTTCTTATTTAATGTAGTATCTAGATTTTTATATCTATCGGTAGACTAACTCTTGTTTCTTATCTAATGTAGTATCTAAATTTGTATATCCATCGGTA